AGATTGACAGCCTGGAAAGCCTGCCTCTCGTCTCGCCCCGCTGTAGCCTTGACAAGGTGCGCATGCTTGAAGCGATGCACCGCCGCAAGGCCTTCTGTATCATGACGGGTGATGGTGTCAACGACTCGCCCGCTCTGAAGAAGGCCGATGTGGGTATTGCCATGGGCAAGCGAGGCAGTGACGTCGCCAAGGAGGCGGCTGATATGGTTCTTACAGATGACAACTTCTCGTCCATCGTTACTGCAATTCAACAGGGCCGGCGCTTGTTTGACAATATCCAGAAGGTACGTTCCTGGTTTTACCATCAGCTACGCATTTGACTAATGGCGTTTACAGTTCCTTCTCCATCTTCTGATTTCCAACATTGCACAGGTTTTCCTTCTATTGATCGGCCTGGTCTTCCAGGACGACTCTGGCACGTCCATCTTCCCCTTGTCTCCTATTGAGATTTTGTGGGCGAACCTTATCACTTCGTCATTCCTCGCCATCGGTCTGGGCCTTGAAGAGGCTCAGCCCGATATCCTCTACCGCAAGCCTCACGACCTGCGTGTTGGTGTCTTTACCTTCGACCTGGTCCGCGACAAGATGATCTATGGTGTGTGCATGGGATCTCTCTGTCTCGCTGCCTTCGCATCCGTCACCTACGGCCCCGGCGGCGGCGATCTTGGACACGGCTGTAACGAAGGATACAATCCCTCCTGCGATGTTGCTTTCCGCGCCCGTTCGACGACCTTCTCGACGCTGAGCTTCCTTCTGCTTGTCACATCCTGGGAGGTCAAGCACTTCCAGCGCAGCTTGTTCAACATGGAGCCTGAGTCTCACAGTGGACCCTTGTCTGTTTTCAAGACAGTCTGGAAGAACCGCTTCCTCTTCTGGGCCGTTATTGGCGGCTTCGTCATGACGTTCCCCGTTGTCTACATCCCTGTTATCAATCACGCAGTGTTTAAACACACTGGCATCACATGGGAATGGGGCATTGTTGCAGGTTGCGTTGTTGTATACATTGCCCTTTTCGAGACTTGGAAGGCCATCAAGCGCAAGCTTGGTCTTGGCGTCCAGGTTAGCCTGCCGCCCCCGGAGGACCAGGTTTAAACAAAAGATTGTGTTTGCCCAATTATCGTCAGAGTGCTCTGCTGGAATCAACTGCACCTCTCGAAACGGAGTTGGCATGTAAAATGCCGGGGTTATGCTTTACACGAGATACCACCAACGGATGTATTGATCCAACATCGTCATCACGCTGGACTGGAATGAAGATGATGACAGAGGCTGTTCATAACAACAACCTGGGGGTTTGATGACTTTCTCTGCGATACAATGTCGATGAGTGATCTCTTGACTCGCACCTTTTCTGCAGCGCCTTCGTAGCTTGCCGTTCGTGGCCGCTTCGAAGTTGCTAGCCAATCAATAAATTTTTAAACCACCTTGTCCCTTGGCAACGTGATTACCTCTTCGCTTCCCAAGGTTAACTGTCCGAACAAGTGTAATAAAGAAGTGTAATGGTGGTCCCTCAATTTGGGCTCGCTCATTGAAATCCATGAGCCGATCATGAAATGTGTTCTATCCAACCCAATTTTTACATATCTCTCGTATCTTGTCCAGCAAGCCAGTCCCTCTCCTTTCCCCCTCCTGACCTCTCACTTTTTCATCCGGAATCTGTCCACTAATGTCCTCTTCGCTAAACCAATTCCCATGCATCCCATATGGCACCCTCTGTGGCAGTTTCACCCTCGCAACAACATCCCTCATGCCCTTTGCATCAATGAGCCACAGCTCACTCACGGCATCAGGCCTACATGCACCCGTCTTATCCAGCTGCGCTTCGTCAAACACATACGTCAACAAGAACCCGTCATCCTCGCTCTTGGCCCCGTCCCTCGGCACAAATCGCGGCTCCTGCGCGAACCACCCCTCCGGCATCCCGAAGAGCCGGATCGGATCGCGCGGGTCGTCGTGCGCCATGATCTCCCTGACCGTCCTCGCGTCGACGCATCCCGTAACCTCGCGCGGAGGATCCGCCTCCCCACGCGCGATGAGCGTCGCGACGTCCATCTTGGCCAGGTGGTCGATCTTGGCGGCCTTGCCCAGGGCGCCGCGGTAGGTGTCCCGGCCCGTCGTGCAGCCGTAGACGTAGCCCCGTCCGCGCATGGCGGCGGCCGGGGCGACGGTAGGGAACTCGAAGGCGATCGCTGACAGGGCCCACTGGTGCTTGATGGCTGCGTCATTGTTGTCGTTGCCGAGGGGGAAGGAGAAGTAGTAGAGCCGGCACTGCTCTTCCTCGGCGTACTCTGGAGGCCCGGGGCGGACGGCTGGTGTTGGGAGATTTCCGGCGCTGAAGATCATCGAGGGGGAGGTGAGGCGGCAGGCGAGGAGGAGGAGGGCTGCGTCGGA